CGGTGGCGGCGGCAGGTGCCGGGGCCGTTGCGGGCGGCGGTTGGTGCCGGTGCCGGTGCCGGCGGCGAGGGCGGAGCGCGGCCGGTCCCTCCCCCGGGCAGCGCCCGGGGCCCGCCCCGCTCGCCCGGGCGGAGCCGCGAGCGGCAGCGGCACCATGGCCGCGGAGAGCGCGGCGCAGCGCGCGCTGCAGTACGAGCAGACCCTGGTGAGTGCGGCCGGGGAGGGCGGCGCGGCGGGACCCCGCGCGCAGGGAGCCCCGCTCGGGGCAGCGCTGGGGCCCGGAGCCCCGGCCCGACCCGGTCCCGGCCCCTCCGCGGCTCCCGGCTCCAGTACCGGGAGCAGCAGCCCCTCCGTGTCCCGGGTCTCCTTGTCTGCAGCGCCTGGCAGGGGGCACCCCCAGGTGTCCCCCATGCCCCAGTGCCACCTGCGGCACCTTCTGCAGCCCCCAGGACCCTGTCCGAGCTGCCACCCCTTGGCAGGAGCTTGTGAGCACCCCATAGCCTCATTCCCCCTATGGAAACACCCACCCACAGTGTGGGGGTTCCCTGTCCCCCCGGACAGCTGTGGGGGGCTCCCACAGGTGCCTCTCTCCGCAGCGCCGCTCGGGCACCCCTTGCCCTGCGGCGCTGCGCCCGGCCCCAGCCCTCTGCCCCAGAGATAGCGTATCTCCCCCGCCCGCAACCTTAGCCCCGTGTTTACGACTCCGTCCCGCACACGGCCTCCCGCTGCCCTGGCACTGCCCGCGGCTGGCACGGAGGTGCCCCCCGGCGGGGCGGCCTCCTGCCCTCCCGCTGTGGGCACGGCAGCCTGGGGCGGTTCTGCCCCCCTCGCTGCCCCCCGCGCTGCCCACCGCCCTCCGGCATCTCGGGCAAAGGTGATTTTCGCCGGCCTCGGCTTGGGCCAGTGCCCAGGGTGTCACAGCAAATGGGTACTTTGCCCTGGCAAGGGCCTGCAGACAGGCAGGGTCAGGGAAGGTGGGGAGAGAGCGAGGGAAGGAGGTGGGGATGGGGGGCACAAATTGCCCCCAGGCTGCAGAGAGCCTGAGCCGGTCGCTCCAGGGGATGCAGCTCCCGGCGCATCYTGCCCTCCCGGGCTTTGGGGTCCGCTTGACCCCTTCCTCCCCATTCGCCCCTGTGCTACCAAGGGCACCCTTGGGCACCTCGGTGGCCACCCTGTGCCACCAAGAGCCTTTCCGTGCAGGCCTGGCAGCGCCGGGGCTGTGAAAGCGCGATTGTGCACGGCGGCTCCGCGATCTTATCGGGGGCGTCTCCCTGGCAGGCAGAGCGGAGCCGGGGGCCAGCGCGGGGACACGAGCGGCGGGACAGGGGCACCGCTCCGTGGGACCGTGCCGAGGGGGTTCCTCTTTGCCGTTCCCCCCCGTCCTGCAGCTCAGCCCCACAGTGGCCGTGGAGAGGGGCACAGAGCCCCAGGGGATGGAGGGGTCTGCAGGCAGGGCAGAGCGGAGAGCTCACACGGGCATCGGGGGGCCTTTGCCAAGCCTTCCTCCTGGCAGGGCCACCCGCACTGCATGGGCACCCGGGGACACCCATCCCCGTGGTCTCTGGGCTGCTGGAGGGCTCAGGGGGCCAGGAGGGCTCAGCCCAGGGAGATGCCGATGCAGTGGGATGCAGCCGGGCACGGGCACCCCTTGGGAAGCCTCACGCCTGCCTCCGGGGAGGTGTCCGGATGCATGCCAGCCAGGAGGGCTGCCCAGCCCTTCCCAGGGAGGCTGAGCAGGCACCAGCGACCCCCCGGCACCTGCCAGGAGTGTTGGCATCCAGCTGGAGCCCGGCGAGGGCTGCCTGGAGCCCGGCAGCCCCGGGGAGSCCCCGCGCCCCCTCTCTGCCCCAGGGGAACCAGCCTCCTCTGCCCTCCTGCCCCACAGAAAGTCCCTGCTYGCCCCAGTGCCCCTCATGCCAGGCGGCCGTGGGGGGAGCAAAGGACCTCCCGACGGGGGGATTAAGCTTCACAAATTGCCCTTGTTTGTGGTGGAGCCGCTCAGGGCGATTAGAGCCGGGCTGAGACAGGCGGCGTGACCCAGACCCCAGCCCCGGCCCCTCGCTCTGCCCGGCAGCCCCCGGCGCCGCCAGCCCGGTGGGAGCTGCCCGTGGTCGTGGTTGGGGGCCACGGCTTGTTGGGCAYCCCCGGGGCACCGTGGCCGGTTCCAAGGGCTGCTGTGGGAGCCTTGGTCCTCCTCCCTGCTCCAGTCAGGACAGGAAGGGGCACGGGGCGAGCCTGCACTTCCCAGAGGGATGGGCATCCCCCCCAGGCAAGCTCCGTGCCCCTGGCTCCCATTCAACATGGGAATGCCGCGGTATGGAATTACTCGGGCACAAGGAGGGCTCGGAGCGCTGCGGCAGGGGTCGTGCCAGGGTCTGAAATGCCACGGGCCGCCCGTGCCCGTGTCCCCAGGTGCCCCCTGCCAAGCGCCCCCCGTGCCCGCTCCCTGCCCGCCCGGCACTGTGATTGTTCAGCTGCTTCGCGGCGGAGGCCGGAGTCCCGGGGCTGTTTGTGTTTCAAAAGGCCTTTGTGGAAAAATAACCCGAGTGAGCAGGAGGAGGAGGAGGAGGAGGAGGAGGAGGAAGGGGAGAACCCCCCGCTGGCGCTTGCCGGGGCTGTGGGCACAGAGCCCCGGGGTGGCGGGCAGGCTGCGGGGATGCTCCACGCGCCAGGTCCGTGTCGCGTGTCCCCTCGCCCCGTGACGGGCAGGGATGGGCACGGCGCCTCGCCAGCCCCTGCGGGGACTGGGTTTGTGCCCAGCCCCGGTCTGGGCACAGCGGGGGGCTCTGCGTCACCCCTGTCCCCTTGTCCCCCAGCTGCGACCTCCGGCTGTGCCCTGGCAGGGGCAGGCAGCGGGATTGGGCATGGACAGGGGAATAGGGAGGAGCCCGCGCGGCTGTAGGGGTGACCCCAAAGAGCAGCAGGGCCCGTGTGCAGCAACTGCGGGGGTCGGAGGCGAGCGGGGGGATTAGGCCGGGGGTCCCGTCCCGGGGCGGCGCTGGCTGCGAGCCGGGCCCGGAGCGGGGCGGGCGCCTGGCCCGGCCGCGGCTCCGCCGGGCGCGGGGCCGGCTCTGCTGCCAGAGGAAACAAGCGCGGCCCAGGGGAGCCTTTGAACACGGCCCGGGGCAGACCCCGTGCGGGGCCGGGGTCCTTGGCAGGCCGGGCTGAACCGGCCCCTCCTCCCTCCTTCCTGAYCCCCCCGTCGCATTTCCATGGGGTCGCCGAGCCCATGGTGGGCAGGATTTGGGGGCAAATCTGTACCAGGAGGGTACAGCAATGGAAATGAGTGTACCCCCCTTCCCCTCCCGCCCGCAGCTGAGCTCAACCCTGGTATTAGACAGCAGAGAATCCACCCGGCGCCCGTCTGGCTGCTTTCTACTGCTTGCCAAAGGGACCTGGGCTGGTGGCACAGTGGGGAGAAATGCCCCGTGCCCGATTCAGTGCCACTGTCACGTTGTTCCCAATGGCCCCAGGGGAGCTTGGCACGTGTCGGCACAGAGGGGCCGTGCCGGTGGTCCTGCCTGTCCCCGGCCCGTGGGCAGGAGCGTGAAAGGGGCCCAGGCATCCGGGGCAAGCAGTGCCTTGGCAGGCAGGGCCGCTCTGTGGGCGCGCCAAGCACGGTGCCCGTCCCGGCGCGCGGGGAGGGTCGTGGCCCCCGCGCAGGGCTTGCAGCCACGTGCCGGGGCGGCGCGGTGACGGGGGACAGGACATCGGCATGGGGGGCACGTCGGCGCGGCGTGGGAGCCCTGGCCGGTCCCCCCGCGCGCCCTGAAACCTCCCTTTGTGCCCGCGAACCGCTGGYGCTTGGCATTCAGGCCGTGCCCGGGGGGGCGAGCGGGGCGGAAACCAGGCAACGGAGTCCTTGGCAGTGCCGGCAGCGCGGGACGGAGGCCCCCGCGCGCCCCGCCGTGGGGACGGGCACAAAGAGCTCCCGGGCGGCGCGGGGGGCAGTGCCAGGGCCGCCCCGCGGCCTGCGCCAGCCCTTGTGCTGCTGCCAGGCGGCAGGGACCGCGGAGGAGGGCAGAGCTGCCCTGGGGGTGCTGCGGGGGTGTCCCCGGGCTGCGGTGCCCCCCGCTGCCCCCCTGGCCAGCTCAGTCCGCGCTGGCCGTGCAGAGCACATCTCGTACCGTGGGGATGCTAATGATGCCAAGGGGAGGCAAGCAGGCACCTGCCCACTGTGGGTAAAGCAGGGGCACAGCCACAATAGCAGCCATTAGAGAATCCCCTGGGCCAGGCTGGCAGTGCTCCCGAAGCGGGAGGCTCTTCCCCTGCTGCCACCAGCCCRGCCCCATGTCCAGGGCACTGGGCAGGGCCGGGGGCTGGGAGCAGCAGGAACAATTGCCATCGATTCCCCGCGCCACCTTATCTGCCCAGCCCTTCCCGGCTGGGCACGGAGCCGGGCCGCCCACGGACCCTTTCCTTGGGACTCCATGGGCAAGTGCCCCCGGCTGGCACCCCTCCTGCCTCCATCCCGTTCCCAGGGATGGGACCTCCTTGTGGAGGCCGGGACGCCCGTGTCTGGCACCCCGGGTGCCCTGCCTCAGTTCCCGCCGTGCGCGTGGGCACGGGCACCTCCTCCCGGGCGCTCCCTGTGGGCACAGGGACGGAGCAGGTTGGACCGGGGCGCAGCCGCCACGGCGCGTCCCTGACCCCGGCACCCCTCCTCGTCCCGCCAGATGTACGGGCGCTACACACAGGACCTGGGCACCTTCGCCAAGGACGAGGCGGCGCGGCTGCGGCTGCAGCAGGAGCGCTGGGACGGCGGCGGGCGGCCGCGGCGCCCCTCCGAGCTGCTCGAGTACAGCCAGGGCCGCTGCGCGCCCTGCCGCGGTGAGGGGCACGCGCGGGACGTGCGCCGAGCGCGCTCGGCCTCGGGCGGCAGCCGTTTGGGTGCTCCTGCTCTGCGGAGACGCCGGCGCCCAGGGCAGTGTCTCCTGCCCGGGCACCRTGGATGCAGCAGCACGAAATAGCCGGGCACGCTATGGGGCTGGGGGGCAGCGCTTGTGCATGCAGGCACAGCCRTGTGGGGTGCGTGTTGGCCCGTGCTGGGGATGGGCATGGGCACCCCGATGTGTGCGGRCGCCGCTGCACGGGGAGGGAGGTGGGCAGCGCTGCACGGCCGGCTGCACGGCCGGCTGCGCGCCGCGGCTCAGCGCGCGGGCGCGGGGGCGTGCGGCTGCGCTGTCCCTGTCCCGGCAGCGCCCGTCCCATGCCCGTGCCCGCGGCGCCTGGCCCTGAGCCTGCCCCCGTGCCCGCAGTGTGCGCCGTGCAGTGCCAGCAGTTCCTCATCTCCAAGGTGGGAGAGGACTGGATCTTCCTCATCCTCCTGGGGCTGGTCATGGCTCTGGTGAGCTGGGCCATGGACTTCGCCATCGCCACCTGCCTCCAAGGTAAGTGACACCATCAGGACCCGGGGTCCCCAAAGATGATGGGGTGGCTGCAGGAGCCACCGCGTGTCGCATGGTTGGGGTCATGGGACCACACAGTGCCCCTCATGCCCATGACGTGTCCCTCACTGTGCCCACAGCCCAGAAGTGGATGTACGGGGGTCTGGACACCAACGTGCTGCTGCAGTACCTGGCCTGGGTCACCTACCCCACCGTGCTCATCACCTTCTCGGCCGGCTTCACACAGATCCTGGCGCCCCAGGCTGTGGGTAGGGCCCCACCGGCACTGCAGACACCCCTGGGGGTAACGGGGCTGCCCCAGGGGGGTTCTGGGGGGTCTTCCTGTGCTCTGGGGTTGGGGGACCTGGACGGGTCTTTCAAGGGCTATGGGCTGGTCTCTGTATGGAAGGTGTCACCAGGGTTTGGGTCCTCTGCAGGGCTATGGGGATGACCCCAGGGACCCCCCAGGCTGTAGCACAGAGAGGGGTCTCTGAGGGTCCCCCCTTGGCCACGGCTGCTGGGTCAGYGCTGTGCCCCGGCGCCAGGCTCGGGCATCCCCGAGATGAAGACCATTCTGCGGGGCGTCGTGCTGAAGGAGTACCTCACCCTCAAGACCTTCGTGGCCAAGGTGATCGGGCTGACGTGCGCCCTGGGCAGCGGCATGCCCCTGGGCAAGGAGGTGAGCGCCAGGGCGGGCGGCGGGCGCCGGGCGGCGCGGGGGCACCCCGGCATCACCGCCCCCCGGCGCGCTCCCCGCAGGGCCCCTTCGTGCACATCGCCAGCATGTGCGCCGCGCTCATCAGCCGCTTCCTCTCCCTCTTTGGCGGCATCTACGAGGTGAGCGGGCACGGGGGGCACCGGGGAGGGGTCTCCGCTGTGCCCTCCCCCAGGGCAGCACCCGCGCTCACATTGGGCCCCTGCACGCGCAGAACGAGGCCAGGAACATCGAGATGCTGGCGGCCGCCTGCGCCGTYGGGGTCGGCTGCTGCTTCGCTGCCCCCATCGGAGGTAGGGCAGCCCCTGGTGCCCCCCAGCTCCTGCCCCAGGGGCTGGCACAGCACCCATGCCCATCACCCCCAGGCACTTGGGTCTCTCTGGGGAAGAAACCAGGTCTCTGTGGCCAGGGCGCCCCACGGGCACCGTCAGACAGGGAAGGGCTCTGCCCATCCGTCCTGCACTGAGGCCCCAGCTGGTGCTGGCGAGGGCAGCGCCGCCACAGACAGGGGTGCCCACAGTGGGGAGGAAGGCAGGAGTGGGCACCGTCCTGTGTGTGAGATGTAACRCCTTGTCTCGTCCTCTCCCCGTGCTGCAATGTGCTCCAGGGAGCGCCTCGCTCCGGCCCCACTGAGCCCTGCCCGTAGGTTGGTGACGTGTCTAACTCGTTCCTTGCCCCCTGCGCGCTGAGCTGCCCGCGCCGCCCATCCGTGTGTGCGTGTGCCTGTGCCCCCGTGCCCAGCACCATCTGCCTGCAGCCCCGCGGCCGCTGCTCGCCTCCCCGCACTGCCCTCCTGCTCGCGCCCTCCTCTGCCACCCAGTGCCTGTTGCAGACAGCCAGGGCACCGGCCGCGCGCTTGGCCGAGGAGCCCCGGGAAGCCCGTCAGCGCCAGCCTGTGCGCCCACGGGGCACCCGGTCCCACAAGGGCCTTGCACGCGCATGGGCGCTCCGGGCGGGAAGCATGCCAGGTGTCCAGGGGGCCGGGATCCCTTTCGCCGCCTCCCTCGTGTCTTTCCTCCGCCGGTGCCAGGTGTCCTGTTCAGCATCGAGGTCACCTCYACCTTCTTCGCCGTCCGCAACTACTGGCGCGGCTTCTTCGCAGCCACCTTCAGCGCCTTCATCTTCCGCGTCCTGGCCGTCTGGAACAAGGACGAAGGTCCGTCCCGCCGCACACGGGCGCCGCTGCCCGCCCTGCCGCTCCAGCGGGGCAGGGCTGTGGGGCACATAGACGGTGGTGGGCACCACAGAGGGGTCCCCGCCGACCTCCCRACTTCCCCCCAGAGACAATCACGGCGCTGTTCAAGACCCGCTTCCGCCTCGACTACCCCTTCGACCTGCAGGAGCTGCCCGCCTTCGCCGTCATCGGGTGAGKGCAGCCGCGCACGGGCACCCCTACGTTGCCAAAGTGGCGGACCCCGCTCCGGCTGGGCTCCCCATGGCACTCACGCCGTGCCCRTACCCAGGATCGCCAGTGGCTTCGGGGGCGCGCTCTTCGTCTACCTCAACCGCAAGATCGTGCAGTTCATGCGCCGCCAGAAGACCATCAACCGCTTCCTCATGAAGAAGTAGGTGCCCAGGAGCGCCTGGCGAGAGTGACCCTCACCCCAGCCTGGTGGGAGCTGGAGGAATGGCTGCCGTGTGTGGGTGTTACCCCATGCCACCCTTCCAGGCGCCTGCTCTTTCCYGCCCTGGTGACGCTGGTCATCTCCACGCTGACCTTCCCGCCCGGCTTTGGACAGTTCATGGCTGGCCAGGTACCTGTGGTGCCCATTGGGGGACCCCGCAGTCCGTGCACTCAGTGCCYGCGTGGCCGGTGCTCACTCTGGTCTCACCCCTGCCCCTCGGCAGCTCACGCAGAAGGACACCCTGGTGACACTCTTTGACAATCAGACGTGGGCAAAGCAGGGCCTGAGCGAGGAGTACATGGGGCTCTTGGAGGCCTGGCACCACCCCCGCTCCAATGTCTTCGTCACYCTCATTGTCTTCATCCTCATGAAGGTGGGTATTACCTGGATGTTCCGGACAGGACACAGACACGTGTCCTCAAGTGCCAGTAAGGAGATGGTGGCCAAGTGTCCTCCAAGCGCCACCAGGAAGGTGCTTGCAGATGCCACCAGGGAAGCACTGGTTGTGTATCACCAAGTGCCAACAGGGAGGCATTAATCTAGGTGTCTGAGTGTCCCCAGATGCCCCCGGGGAGGCCCTGGCCGCTGTCCAGAGGTGCCAGCACAGGGAGATGCTGGCCGGGTGCCCCCTCGGCGCGGCCGGGCTGCCCTGCAGCGCTGTGCCCGCGCTCCGCGGCAGGCGCTGCCGGTGCCAGCCGGGCGGCACAGCCCGAGCTGGCGGGAGGCCCGGGCCGGGCTGCCAGCTGACACGTGCCTGTGCCCACCACACAGTTCTGGATGTCAGCCCTGGCCACCACCATCCCCGTGCCCTGCGGAGCCTTCATGCCCGTCTTCGTCATCGGTGAGAGCCTGCCAGCGCTGGGCGCACGGAGAGCCCGAGGGGCGCCCCACACGCCTGGCGCGCCCCGGCCCGCTCTGAGCCGCTCTCTTGGGGCAGGGGCAGCCTTCGGGCGCCTGGTGGGCGAGAGCATGGCGGCCTGGTTCCCTGATGGCATCCACACGGACAGCACCACCCATCGCATCGTGCCGGGGGGCTACGCCGTGGTGGGTAAGCACTGTGCCCGTGGGCYGGCACGGGGACGCCACGTGCCCACCGCACCGCTGCCTGCGCAGAGACGCTCCAAAAGAGCCAGGGGAGTGCGTCACRGCCAGGGCTGGGACACTGTCCTCGGGGAGTGGGGTGACCCCTCGGGGGTCCCAAGAGATGGGTGTTGCTGGAGCTGGGGGGGTCTCAGCGGGGTGGGGGTGTCCCCAGGGCCTGACGTTTCCCTGGGGCTGGGGGATGTCCCAGCAATGGGGGTGTCCCCAGGGGTAGGAAGGGGATGGGACAGGGCATGGAGGGAGGACGGCCCCGCGGGCAGGCAGGGCAGGACTGACGGGCTGTCCCTGTGTCTCTCGGGGACACGTGCGGGCGCAGGGGCGGCCGCGCTGTCGGGCGCCGTCACCCACACCGTGTCCACGGCCGTCATCGTCTTCGAGCTGACGGGGCAGATCTCCCACATCCTGCCCGTCATGATCGCGGTGATCCTGGCCAACACGGTGGCCCAGAGCCTCCAGCCCTCGCTCTACGACAGCATCATCCGCATCAAGAAGCTGCCCTACCTCCCCGAGCTGGGCTGGGGGCACCACGAGTGAGTGGCACCCGCAGGGCATCCTCACCAGTGTCCCCGGCTGGGCACGGGCACCGTCCCCAGCACTGAGGTGCCCTGGTGGGTGCCTTGGCTCTTCCATCCACGCTGAGGGCAGCGCGTCCCCCCGGGCAGGAAATACAACATGCGGGTGGAGGATATCATGGTGCGGGACATCCGCTACGTCACCCTCAACTGCAAGTACCGCGACCTGCAGCACGTCCTGCAGAGCACCAAGATGAAGAGCCTGGCGCTGGTGGAGTCGGCTGGTGAGACCCGGGCGCGGGGCAGCGGGGAGGGCTCCTCGGGCACGTGCACCACGGCGCAGCCGGTGGCACCGGCACTTGCTCCAGTCGTGGGCGCCTTTGCTTTGGTGGCCACCGGGGAAACTGAGGCAGGGGGTGAGGCTGGGAAGCAGGCGTCCGAGCCGGCGCCTTGGTGCCCGCAGAGTCCATGATCCTGCTGGGCTCCATCGAGCGGACGCAGGTGGTGGCCCTGCTCAGCCAGCAGCTCAGCACCGAGCGGCGGCTCCAGGCCCTGCGGGACAAGGCGCTGGCGGAGCAGGAGGACACCGCCAAGGACGGGCGCCGGCTCTCCGACACCGGCGTGCGCTTCCAGGTGTGGACCTGGCAGCAGTGCCAGGCACTGCTGCCCGTCGCTGGGGTGGGGAGGAACCGGGCGCCCGGGGGTGGCCCAGGGCGCCAGCCGCCTCGTCCCGCCCCGCAGATCAGCACCGAGGCCTCGTCCTTGGCGCCCGCGCGCGGCGGCGCCCGCAAGCCCCTGAAGCCGGCGCTCAAGCGGGTGCCCAGTGTCCTGGCGGAGGGCACCCAGGGTGAGTGGGGGCCCTGCCCGCGCCCCGCGCCCCCAGGCTCGGGGTCCTGTGGGCCTGACGCGCTCCGCACAGCCGCAGCGGCCGCCTCTGACCACGGCGGCATCGCTCTCAAGAGCCTCTTCTGTGCCAAYGCTTCCACAGAGCCTGCCGAGGTGGGTGCTCCTCCTGGTCCTGCCCATTCCCTGCCCATTCCCTTCCGCTCCCTGCCTGCTCTTCCCCATCCCTCCTTGGTCTGGTCCATCTCTGCCCATCCCTGTCTGATCCTTCCCATCCCTGCCCATGCCTTTTTGGTCCTTCCCATCCCTCCAGGTCTCTTCTCATCCCTGTCTGGTCCACCCTATCCCTGCCCATCCTTGCCTGGTCCTTCCCATCCCTGAAGGTCCCTCCCCACTCCGCCTGTCCCTGTATGTCCTTTCCCATCCCTGCCCCATCCCTACCTGGTCCTGCCCATCCCGGCCTGGTCCTTCCCATCCCTGCCCATCCCTTTTTGGTCCTTCTTGTCCCTGCAGGTCCCTTCCCACCACTGCCTGGTCCATCCCAGCCCTGCAAGTCCCTGCCTGGTCCTTCCTATCCCTGTCTGTCCCTGCACGTCCCTTCCCATCCGTACCTGGTCCTTCCCATCCCAACACGGTCTCATCCATCCCGCCCCGTCCTTGCCATTCCGGTCCATCCCTGCCCATTGGTGCCAGCTCCTGCCCGCCCGTGCCCTGACACCCCTGTCTCTCCCGGCACGGTGCCAGGCCCAGGGCACGGCCCAGCGCAAGACCAAGCACGTCCGYATTTCCCTCTCGGTAAGCTGCAGCCACTCACAGCCAATGGGAGGCCAGCCTGCATCCTGTCAGCCAATCAGGGGCCTGGCACTGTTTTGCTTGGCCAATCAYGATTTCTCTGTGTACACAAGCCAATCACGGATGGACCTGATTCTGCTCCACCAATCACGGCACAGCCTGTGTCCTCCCCATCATAAACCTGCTTGGTGAATAGTCCCTGGTAGCCAATCAGGGAACTATGTCCACATTGATCAGCCAATCATGATATAGCCTATATTTTCCCGACCAATCACACACTGGGTTTGACTCTCCTTCACCCATCAAGGCATGGCCTGGATCCATTAGCTAACCACTGGCCCAGCTCCTTCCCACCAGTCATGGACCTGGCACGATCCCTGCCCACTGCCCACCTGATCCCTGACTGATTCCCACTTGATCCCTAACCGCTGCCCACCTGATCCCTGACTGATCCCTGACTGATTCCCACTTGATCCCTACCCGCTGCCTACCTGATCCCTGCCAGACCCCTGACTGCTTCCCGCTTGATCCCTACCCGCTCCCAGCCTGACCCCTGCCAGATCCCTGCCCATTCTGTGCCAGATCCTTGCCGCATTCCTGCCTGCTTCCTGCCACATACCTGCTGGATCCCTGCCTGCTTCCGCACGTGATCCCTGCCAGATTCCTTGCGCACTCCCTGCACACTCCCTGCTTGCACCTTACCCACACCCTGCCCATGCCCTGTCCATATCCTACCTGTGCCATGCCTGCACCCTTCCCATGCTCTGCCCATTCCCTGCCTCTGCTCCCTGCCAGCTSCCGCCTGCTCCGTGCCACACCAGCACCCTGCCCGTGCCCACCCTGCCAGGCCCGCTCACCACCGCATCTCTTGCAGGAGGAGGCGGACYTGGGTGACAAGATGACCCCATCGGAGGTGAGACGGGGGGCTGCCAATGCCGCTGGGCACCCCCAGCCTCACCGGGACCCCCAAGGTCTCAGCGCTGAGCACAGAGGGGCAGGACCCCGGTGTCCCTGTAGTGTTGGGTTCCYGGGCTGGGGGGCACCCTCACTGGAGCGAATGGACACAGAGAGGGGGCACCCTGCCCACTGCCCCCTGCCCCACGGCCTCTGTACCAGGTGCTGGAGTGGGAGGAGCAGCAGCTGGACCAGCCCGTGGACTTCAGCAGCGCCAAGATCGACCCGGCGCCGTTCCAGCTGGTGGAGCACACGTCGCTGCACAAGGTGCCCCCGCGCCGTGCCCGCCCGGTGCCCCATGGCGCGCCCGTGCCCGCTGACCCCCTGCCTCTCGCAGACCCACACCGTCTTCTCGCTGCTGGGCCTGGACCACGCGTACGTGACCAGCATCGGGCGCCTCGTGGGCATGGTGTCGCTCAAGGAGGTGAGCGGGGCGAGGGCGGCGGCGCGGCGCCCGCGCGSCGCCCGGCGCTCACGCGGTGCCCGCAGCTGCGCAAGGCCATCGAGGGCTCGCTCACGGCCAAGGGCGTGAAGGTGCGCCCGCCGCTCGCCAGCTTCCGCGACAGCACGGCGAGCGCCGGCGAGCCCGACACCACCGACATCCGCCAGCTCTGGGACCGCCACCAGCACCACGCCATGCCCCGCGAGGCCGCCCCCGCCGCCGACGAGGCCGCCCCCGGCAAGAGCCAGTGAGGCCGCGGGGTGCCCGCACTGCAGGGGACATCGCGAGGGGGCAGGGGACACCCCCAGCCCCGTGCCCACCGGCCCCGGGTGGTGCCTTTAGTTGGGCACCAGCGAAACGCACCCTGCGCCCGGGGAATGGCCAGTGTCTTGGTGCCCCCGGCCACCACTGTGCCCCCCGCCCTGTCCCCACACTGGGCTTCCCACTTCTCTACCTCTGCCCCATTGCCCCCGATGCTGCAATCCCGGCCCCCCCTTCCTGCAGGGGCCCCCTTGCCCTGGGTGGTGGCACTGGGACCGAGGGGCACTGGGGCTGGCGGTGCCCTCGGAGAGGGTGTTTTACCCAACCCRTGCACCTCATTCCTGCAAAGCAGGGAGATCCCGCCTGCATTCCTGCTGCGTGCCCAGGTCCRGGCCCCTCACCGTGTAAATACAGAGATTTTTATATTAATTTAATAAAARCACTTTATAAGTAGAGCTGTCAAGCTGGAGCTCCGCAGCAACCCAGTGCCCTGGGCACGGAGGGGAACTGGCACAGGAGACACAGCCAGCACCACCAAGAGGGCAGGAAGCCTTTATTTAAGCCGTGGGCAAGAGGTGCGCGCTCAGAGCGTGGCCTCGCTGCGGTAGCGTGGCTGCGGGGGCTCGCCGGGCCGGGCGCCGGCGCGGCGCCGCGCCGTGATCACCAGCGTGCCCGCCTCGGTGAGGGCGCAGCGCACCGACAGCGGCTCCATGTCCTCGGGCAGCTGGCACTTGTGGGTGAAGGTGTCGCACACGGTGCCGTCCTCGGCCACCTGCAGAGAGGGGACACCGGCGCCGTGGGGCAGGGCGCTGGTACCCCAGGGCAGCTCCAGTTGCCCTGGCACTGGAGGGGAGCTCCGTGGGGCAAATACCAGTTACTCTGGGGTGGGCATCAAGGGGCCATTCCCGGTTTCCCAGGGAGCAGATAGGRAGCAGATCCCTATTGGCAGCAGGGACAAGTCGGAGTTGCCCCCCGCCCCAGGGTGCCTGCAGTGGGGCAGGAGGTCCCGGCTCTCCCTTTGCCCACTAACACCAGTGCCAGCACCTTGCCTGCTTGGCATAGGAGACCCTGCTCCCCCCACACCATTGCCGCTCACCTTCTCGGCCTGGATGGCCACGTGGCAGTTGGACGCGGTCACCACGATGTCGGGGGGCTCGAACTGGCTCACGTCGGCCACCACCTGGTAGGTGTCGCCCTGGGCCCGCACCCAGGTGCCCAGGCTGCAGGGGCACACGGCGCCCGGGGCGCCTGCGCGCACCGCGTCAGGGGCTGCGGGCACGGGGCGGGTTTGGGGAGGGGGCCTGGGGTGGCAGGGAGGGCTGGAGAGGCAGGTAGGGGGATTGGATGTGTGGGGAGGGAACAGGAAAATCAGGGAGCATTAGGAGAGATGGGGGGGTAGCAGGGGACACAGGGGGCTCTGGAGACACCGCAGGTGGGGGGTGCAGGCAGGGGGAAGGGGCATGGAGGGCTGGGGACACGGGAGGTGCAGGAGGGCTTAGGGGGTTCAGAGACAGCAGGGAGCCCTAGAGGACACGGAGCAGGGCTGAGGGGACATAGGAGAGCCACAGGGCACAACAGGGACGGTCTGAGCTTCCCTCACGGCCCCAGGCCACCAAGAGGGGACAGCAAGCAAAGATGTCCCCTTTGCACAGGACAAGGCAGCTGGGCACAGCTGCAGGGGGCAGAAATGGGTGCAGAGGAGAGGACCCCATCCCCACACACCCCGCATGCCCTCCCGCTGGGTACCTGGGTATGCGAAGGCCTCGCGGGCGCGGGGCGCGAAGGGGCCGAGGCGCCGCTCGCCCTCGAGGCGCCGCTCGCCCTCGGCGCGGGGCTCGCCGCCGCCCTGGCCTTGCCCGCAGGTGCCGAGGCGCTCGGCGCGGTACGCGGCGCGCGAGGCCATGGCGCCGAGCACGGTGACCGCCAGCCCCCGGCGCGGGGCAGGGGCCGCCCGCCCGCCCGCCCGCCGCCTCCCCATGCCCATAATTAGCCCGGGAGCTGCCGCTCGGCCACCCCGGCCCAGGAATGCGAGATAAGGGCTGGGGCCTCCCTGGCACCCTGCGAGGGCGCAGCGGGGACGTGCACAAAGGGGACGTGTCACCACAGCCCCGCGGCGCTACACGGGGACGGTAGTGGGCTGCCCCCAAGCTGCGAATGAGGCACGCAGGGCGCTGCTCACGCGACGGACTTTATTGGAGGCCTGGCGGGACGAGGCGGCGCGGGCACCCCCGGCGCTGCCCCACGGCGGCACGTGGGCACCTTGGCGCACGGCCCCACGGCATGGGGCACGGCGGCGGGCACACGCACGGCCCGGTGCACGCACACAGAGGGGCACACGCGGGTGCAAGGTGAGCCCCGCACTGCCACACACGTGTGCACACCCGTGTGCYCGTGCACACACGCGTGCCAACACAGCACGCTCTCACATGCACCCTGCCCCACACACACTCCGTGCAAAGCGCCCCTGCCCCACTGCAGGCTCCCCTTGCCCCATCGCAGCACCCAATGGGGCGGGTTGGAAGGGGCCAGGGYGCCCCGGTGCCGCAGGCAAGACCATCCCTCCCTGCGCCCCCCCCGACCCTGCGTTCCCAAAGGCAACGGGAGAGGGCCGGGGCCCACGGAGGGTGACGAGGGGCACCCAYGTGTGTGCGTATGTGGCGGTGCAGCTGGGCTGGCAGGCAGGGWGCCCCTCACCGGGGTGTCAGGGCTGCTGCCCCCCCTTCCTGCTGCCCCCATGCAGGGCACCCCGAGGTGGGGCGAAGGCTCCGGGTTGGGGCTGGGGATGCGGTTTGGGGCAGGGGGCTCAGCGCGGGGATCGGCGGTGGCGCCGGGGGCGTCATGCAGAGGCCGGCGCGGGTGGCGAGCAGCCCCGCGCGAGCGCGAGCCATGCGGGATGGGGCGGGGGGGCAAGCGGGGCAGGGGGGGTCCCCGCACCCCCAAACCGAGCCTGGACACCTTGGTGCACCCGCTGCCCCAGGCACCCTGAGCAGCGAGGGCAGCGGGGGGCACCGGGCAGGCCTAACCCTCCATGTAGGCACTTGGTTCCCTGCTGGGGCAGGGGAGCGACGTGGGGATGGGGGGGATGCACAGGGACCCACCACCCCCCTATGCTCACCGGGTGCCCCCCTCATGCTCAGCACCCAGGACCCATGCCCTGGGTCCCCCCGGCGCACGGCGGCTCGGGGTGCAGGGCGGGACCCGCTGCTGCTGCTGGTGGCGCGAGGCACCTGCCGGGATGGGTGCACCCATCTGTGTGCACCCCCCATGTGCACACAGAGACACCCCCTGGGATGGGTGCACCCATCTGTGTGCACCCCCCATGTGCACACAGAGACACCCCCCGGGATGGGTGCACCCATCTGTGTGCACCCTCCATGTGCACACAGAGACACCCCCCGGGATGGGTGCACCCATCTGTGTGCACCCTCCACGTGCACACAGAGACACCCTCCAGGATGGGGGGGCCCCGCGGCTGCCCCCCACGTGCACACAGGGGCGCAGTGCCGTGCGGGCGCAGTGCCGCACTCAGCACCGCCGCCGCCCCCGCCAGGCATCAGTTCACAGTATAAAACTCAGTCCAATAAAAGCCGGCYGGGCAGAGGCGAGAAAAGAGCCGCCCTTGGTCCCCTGGCAGCTCCTGCAGCGCCCCACGGCYGCGGGGATGCTCCGCGAGATGCAGCCGTGCCGGGGGGACCCCGGCCCGTGGGTCCATCAGTCTGGAGGGGTCCGGAGGGGCAGGCGTGGGCACAGGGGTGGATTCAGGCCGCCCCCAAATCCCCTTCCAAGCTGCCCCCCTCCCAGCTCTCATGCAAAAGAACAGACGAGGGAACAGAGACGTGGACAAGCAGGAACGGCGCGGGGGGCCGGGGGGCAGCGGGCAGGGCCCCCCTCCCTCCATGCGCCCGGCTCCCGCGGGACGGGGCCACGGTGCCGTCGCCCGTCGCRCGGCTCCTCACGGCGCCTCGGCCTCGTCCTCCTCCAGCGACACCACCCCGGAGGAGGCGACGTCGGAGACCTTGCGGCGCAGCGGGAAGTCCTTGCCGAGCAGCAGCTCGTCGTCGGCGGGCGAGAGGCAGGGCACGGCGAACAGGGGGTCCCGGCGGCGCAGCCGCGCCAGGCCCCGCAAGGCACTTTGGCTGCCCGGCGGCGGCAGCGGGGGCAGCAGCAGGTCCTCGCCCGCCAGGGAGCCCAGCAGCTTGGCAGTGAGTTCGGCGGGCGACACCATCTCGAGGCTGCAGAGGCTCGAGCAGAGCGTCTCGGGCGAGAGGGTGCGCGAGGAGTCGCTCTCGGGCTCGCAGGAGCCGTGCCGCGCGCCCAGCTCGCACCAGTGGCTGTGCAGGAGGTCGCGCAGCAGCGCGGCTGGCTCTGCGGGGCAGCGGCGCGGGGTCAGCTCGGCACCCGGCCCCTTCCCGGGGTCCCCCCGTGCCCCCTGCCCGCCCGCTCACCGGCCGCCTGGGGGCTCTCTGCCGAGGGCGCCACGTCCTCATCGTAGGACTCGTCGTTGGAGTCGTCCCCGTCCACCGAGGACCAGGCGCGCAGCTTGGCCTCGGCGATGGCGAACTGCTCGGCCACGCCTGGCAGGGCCAGCGCCACGCGGTCACGCTGGCGGCCCCGGCACCGCCGCGTGTCCCCGCGCGTGTCCCCGCGCGTGTCCCCCCGCGTGTCCCGCGGGGCGGCGCACCTGCGGCGAAGCGCGCCTCCTGCTCGCCCTCGCTGAGGTGGCAGTAGGAGCGGAAGGCGCTCTCCAGCGCGGCGGGCGGCTCCTCGGGCTTGCACCAGCCCTTCCACTCGATGAGGTGGGCCACGCGGCCCTGCGCCATGGCCGTCGGCTTCGTCACGTGCTCCTTCACCACCTGCGAGATGCCTGGAGAGCCGCCGCGTCAGCACTGCCCTCCCGGGACCCCCACGGTGCCCCCGCAATGATGCCYCAGGGACCCCAACCTACCAACCCCCCGCTCCGGGTGCTGGTACCTCAGGGATCCCCAAATCCCAGGGCACAGGTGGTCCCCGGTTCTCTCATGTCCCTCCACCCCCCAGGGATGCTCTCCGCTGCAGCCCCTGTTCCCGCAGGGGGACCCTGCACGGCCCGGGGGTCCCGCTCGGCCCAGGCCCCCCCGAGCCGCGCGCGGTGGCTACCGTGCAGCGAGGAGCGGGCCAGGGCGGCGATCTCCTGGATGGTCAGCGCRCGCCGCGACTTGGGCAGCATCTCGACGGTGTCTTCAACATTGACCTGGCCGAGGGGGCAGCGATGTCACGGTCCCGGCGCCCGCCAGCCCCTGCCCGCCCCGAGAGCCTCCCCTTCCTCCTCGTCCTCATCCTCCCGCAGGCATTAGGGCCGGCTCGGTGCGCACACCTGCAGGCACCGTGCGAGCCGGCACACGGAGCCAGGAGTGCACTCACACACCCTGTGCACACGCAGCGTGCACCTGATCACGCTGTTTGCACGGGTGTGCTGCTACTACACGCGTGTTGTGCACTCTCACATGCGTGCGTGCGCTCCCTGTGCACACGTGCAGCACCTGTGCATGCACATGCACTTGTGGGCTGCAGGCACGTTAGCGCACGCTGGTTGTGCCCACGGCCGCATGCACACGCGTGCGCTCACCCAGGCCCCACACACGTGCACACTCACACGCGTGCACAAATACCCGTGTGAGCACACGCGTGTGCATGCCCTGTTCTGCCCCATGCCACCCCGTGCGGCCCTTGCAGGGTGTGCACAAGCACACACGCACGTGCGCCCGGCTCCCCGGCAGCGCCCGCGGGGCGGCAGCTCCCCCGGCAGCCCCGCGGCGCCCGTGGGGCCGCGCGCGGCGCCCGCCCGGTGCGGCCGCGCCGGCGCCCCGTGCCCGCAGCCGCCGCCAATGCGATGCGGGACTCGGAGGCTCGCAACAAATTGCATCGCCATGGCAACGAGGCACCGTGGACTGATTTCTCCCAGGATACAGCCCCGGCTCGGAGCTGACGTCAGAGCCGCTCCGGAGACGGCAGCGAGCCGGCGGGCCCGGCCAGGGGCGGCAGGGGCGGCCAGGGGCCGGTGTCCCCGGTTTGCACGGGCATCTGCTGCGCACGGGGAGCTGCCCGTCCCCGTCCCCATCCCCGTCCCCATCGCGGGCCCGGCGGTACCTCGAGGAAGTCCTGGCTGTCGAAGGAGGCCTGTCGTGCCAGGCGGTGCAGCAGGGCCGGCCGGGCGGCGCTCAGCGCGGGCAGCGCCTTCACCTCCTGCCACTCCACGTGCAGCGTCGTGTCCACGGCCACTGCGGGCAGAGCCGGGGCGGCGTGAGCGGCACCGCGGCCCCGCCGCTGCGCGCGGCCGCCCGGGCAGCTCTGCCCCGTGCTCGGTGACCGGTTTTCTCCACGCTCTGAGCCCTGTCCCAGCTCGTTGCAGGGATGCGGGGGGCGCAGGCTGCTCCGCGCGCTGCATCCCGCAGCGGGACACGCGGAGCCCTGCGGAGCGGCCGGTGTYGCAGCCGGGGGAGGGCAGCGGGGGGCGCGGGTGACTCACGGCCGGGCGGCCCTGCCGCCGGTGCCAGCGGGAACCGGGCCTGGCACCCGGGACCGGGCACCTCTCCCGGCTTGGCCGGTCTTTCCGCAGGGCCTTTGGCACCTCCGGACTGCCATGGGGTGGGATAGGGCAGCTGTGAGCGGCCCTGGGGAGCCCAGCCCAGGGAGCTGCCTCGGGTGCAGGGATGGGGATAGGGACAGGGATGGGAATAGGGAAGGGCAGCAGCCAGTGACACTGTTTGCCAGCAGAGCAGCGGCCCGGGCACCAAGCCTGTGGCAGGGGCACCTCGGGGAGCCACCCTGGGGTGGGCTGTGGGCGCCCAGGGGATGGGGAGCAGTGGGGTGGGGGCTTTGGGGCGCTGGGKGCAGCAGGAGTCGGCTATGGGGAGCTGCGCTGGCCTGAGCTGGGCCCCACTGTGGGGCTGCTGCTCCTGCACCGCCTCCTGCCCCTTCTCCCCTCACACACCCCCCAAATTCCCTGTCCTCCGGCTAGGGGAGGCAAGAAGGGGCGGGAAGGCGGGAGCACCGGGCACCAGCCTCCAGCCCAGCACCCGGCACCAACCCTGAACTGGGCTGTGCCGGGGCCCAGCGGGAAGGGACCCCCCTTCCCACCCCCTCTGCCGGCTGCCCAGGTGCCCGTGCAGCCCCCGGTCCAGGACACCCCACCAAGGGCCAGGAAAATCCTCTCCCAAGGAGCCTCATTGCAGCCGCACGGAGCCAGGCCCGGCTGATGCAAACCAGCATCGGGGTGGCACACGGCGGGGTGACACACGGAGGGGTGGCACACAGGGAGGTGGCACAGAGTAGGGTGACACATGGAGGGGTGACGCGCTCCCYGTGACCCCGTCCGGGGCAGCCTCTGGGGCAGTTGTTGCTGGCATCACCCCACCTCGGCTGCAGGCACCCCTGGGTGACAGCCCAGCCTCCCTTCCTACACCCCCCGGACACCCCCACCTCGGCTGCAACACCCCCAGAGCCCCCGCACGCAGCTAGAGCCCCCACAGCCGCCCACCGTCCCCTCCGCCCCCACCCGTCCTGCTGCATCCCCAGGACATCTGCAGCATCCCCGGCGCACCCCGCAGCACCCCGTGACACCCCAGAGCGCTGCACAACACCCCCCCACCGCAGCGCTCCCCCGGAGCCCCCCAGCTCCCTCCCAGGCCCCCTCACCCCCTCATTCAGCCACCCCACAGCAGCG